TACTGCGTAATTAATACGTGAGGAGAGTTTTGTTCATAACAAATTATTTATTCTGATGTATTCAGCTGAAGCTTTCCATGAAGAGGTTCTTGCATTTCAGCTCCCCTTACTGTATTATCCTTTGTAATTAGGAACTATATTTCTGCTGTACTACCTGCTGATTAATGCTCTGTCATGTCAGCTTCCTCTGACTTCCACTGTGACCTTGACCATGCTTACTGGGAGTTCAGTCCTGAATTCTGGCTTGATGCCTGCCAATGGCAGCCAGGACAGATTGAACTCTGAAGCGAGGGCAGCGAAGGTGCACTGACCATCAGCACTTTTTTTCCCTCCACTTAAGGTGCTGTGTTCTTCTTGCTTCGCTTTAGGCCTGGATGCCACTTGTCCTGGGCAAAGACAGATCACTGATGTCTTAGTCCTTGGAACTAGTGATTGGAAACACTGTGACACTCCATCTCTGCTTTTAGGATGTGTAGGCTGACCTGAAATTCACTTTTTTAAGAATGACAGTTACTAGTGGTAGCTGTGCCTTTTCTTATAACCATTTTTATATGTTGCATGAAAAGAAACACATAAATGAAAACTTTGTTCTACTTTCATAAAGTTTGTTTAATGCATTTGCTGCTCAGAAACAGCTTAAAAATAATTTTAAAATTACTTCATTCTGCTATTAAGATTTTTAACTGTGTTATGCTTTTTGTATGCAGGACTTTTTGACGGAAACAACAGCCTATTTTAGATTTTGAAATCTACATTATGCAATTACCCTTTTTTTCCTAGTGGAAAGTGGATCTGGAACTTAACAAACTGAAATTCTTGAAAGCTGCTGCTGTTCCATACCTGAAATGACATCATTCATGTGTAGTTCAAGATCTTTGGATTTACTAACAGTTATTCTGACAGAAGAATTACATTCAATTTTAGATTTTCATTTATTATATATTATTAAACATGAATTGCTAAATCATCACAGATTGTGCAGCTGAGTACAGAGTTGAAGAAAGGTAAAACTTCTTTTACTGTAGATTAACAGTATATTACAAAAATGTTCAGTGAATCTGATTCTGAAGTGTTGTAGGAAGAAGTGGGTTAATAGGTTAATAAGAACAGAATTGTGCATTATGCTATAGAACAGTGTGGTAAAACAGGTTTTCGTCTGGACAGGCCCTTTCATACAAAAAAGCTTGACAATATTTTCAGGTGTGTGTTTAACAGAACAGTTTCACGCAAAATAACCCAACCTAATCCGTGTGATGAGATTTGTAGAGCGCCTGCCGTAAATGATGTACGCATTCCAAGTAGTGGCCATGTGCTGTTATTTTTTTCTCCTTGTTCTGCAGCTGTTTCTGGACCATTTATGCTACTACAGACTTAGAATGTGACAGCAGTTGCAAGACGTGGCCCTGTTACACTGCAGTTGTTCTATAAAGCAAGGAAATTTCTCCTTCCTGGTGATGTTGGACAGAAGTTCATTCATCTTTCTCCTCGGTATAGCTGCCGAAATCACTGCTGTACAGGTACTGTTGCTTGCAGTCTGGCTTTTTTTTTTTTTTTTTGCTCTTAGCATTTGAGCATTACGTTTCAATCACTGACATTTTTTTATTAAAGAATCAATGCAGTATGCAATTAATACATAAAATAAATAATCACTTTTACAAAAGCGTGCAAATTGTGGCTTAATTCTCAACTAGAGTTGCAAGCTTTGAGAGTCATTAAGAACACTGTCTGCACTGCTGGACTAGATTGAAAATTTCTTAGAGCAAGAGCTGTGTTTTCAGCTGGCTGATATGTCTTATGTGCTCATGGTTCTGTTCAAACAAAACTGTAGGGGAGGACGTTTTCTTGTAGCCAGTTCAGGGGAGCGAGCTAAACATCAGCGAATTCTGCCCCTTGCGTGTACAGCTGAATTGTGAGGCAGTGAATCAGGCCTGTTACCAACGTGCATAATCTGAGCATGCATTTCCAGTCCATGCATTAATCCATCTCTACTACACCGTGTGGGTTTGGCAGCTGGGTCGTACAGCCAGAGCATGCAGCTGATCCCCTCAGCATTGTGACATGATGGATAGTATGAGCTCATGAAATACTTACTTACATATTAAATCCGTTTGGGCTGCTTACAGAGGTAAGGATACAGTTGTCCGTGTGTGGGGAGTCAAGGCATTTATTAGCATGCAACCTAAGTGAACAAAAATGGTCTTTGAAAGTTGTGATACAGAAAGAAACTATGATTTATAAGGTAGGGGTTTCAAATTGGACTGTAGCTTGGTTTTGATCCCCAATTCCCAACCCCCAAGTGGCTGTGATGAAAAAAATTTTCTGTTAAGTTCCTGTTGTGATGAAGTTGCAGGGTGAAGGAAGGCATTGTGTGTTAAGGTACACCAAAAAAAAACCCCAAAACACCTTCATCCATGTGGAATCTCACACCTGTTAGTGCTTTCAACAGTTTTCTGTTGTCATCCTGAATGTAGTTGCATTGAGTTTTTAATTCCTTTGAATGCACTTGGACTGAGCAGCTTCCCAAATAATTTGAAGTCTACCTCTACCTAAACCTGAAGTCTTGTAAAAAGTTAGGAGCTTTTTGTTGTTGTTTCTTGTTCTATAAAATGATAGAAGTATGCTTTCAGCTCATACTGTCTATCTTTGGAGTTAGTTAGTGGAGGGAGATTAAACTTCTGAAAGTTACTTTGATGCTTCCAAGAATTTCAGATTTTTGGCTTGAAAAGTGTGTCATTTTGTTGTGCATGCTTCTATCTCTGAATTTGTAAACCCAAACAGTCCCAGTAACTAAGTAACAGCACAGCTGAATGTTTTCATAAAAACAACTTTGCTGCTTAGAGATGTGATTTACTACTTAAGTGTGTGTCTGTACATATATACAGAGGCAAAAAGTGATGATGACCTCATCTTAAACCAGCTCACAAGAGCAGTCTCAGTTTTTTTAGTCTCTAAGCCAAAGACAAATTTACTGTAAGCAGACAGAACTCCATTGACTTCAGTTGCTGTATCACCATTCATGTCTTAATTGCTGAAATAATTCTGTTTGTAGTGATCAATGCTTGAAATGTAAACCTAAAGAAAAAAAATTTATTGTCTTGCATCTTTCCTGGTAAGGAGGAGAAGCTAGTGAATATTCAGGGGTTTACAGGTAAATCTCAACATTTTATTTTTTTAATTTTGATATTGCCTGGTTAGAAGACTGTTCTTCAATGAATGTAACAGCGCTTGGACATTAAGTAAACATAAGTTTACATAAGTAAACAGCCCTTTACTTACAACCGATTCTAAGTGATGTCATCTTGCAATTACTAGACACACAAAATAGACCTGCATATTTTGTAACGTATTAAAAAAAGCATCTTCAAGTACTTTTGTTGAGCAAAAGCTTCCCAGAATTTATGGCTCATGTTCCTCTGTTTTGTTTAAACAAGATTCCAGGTCACAAGCAGAATATTCTGGTAAACTCAAGTAATTTTTAGATGCTGCATGTAGCCCTCATTTCATCTGTACTCATAATATTTAAAACTTCTAAACCTTATATTTGCATGCTTCTACTGAAACAGTTAATAGTCTTTACCAGAAAGAAAACTTTCTATTTGTGTATTATTTATTGATGTTAAACCCACATTATATCAGCACAACAATCCAAAGTAATGATAATACATTTTTTTTATAAATACAAATAAAAGGTGGCAAAATAATGCTAGTGAAGCTAAACAAAAAAGAAAATTAGCATGTCACAGTCAAGAAAAATTTGGCAAATGATATGACATACTTTTCTAGAATAGAATCAGATTACTCCCAGATGACAGACTATGACGTTAATCTAGATTAACGATCCCCGTAACTGGTCATATCCTGCACCAGAATAGTACTACCTTATGTGCTAAAGTTTATTAGTCACTAAAAAACAAAACAAACTTTGTGTACTTACAAAGCAATACACGTATAGCAGTAATGCAATATATGGTGTACACAATTACAAAATTAAAAAACCCTAAGTACAGGACTTCTGAATAACTGAACTGAGATAAAAGATTTCAACACTTTTATTATAAATAATGAAAGATACCATATATGTGCTTCATATAAGGAATACAGTGTTTTCCTTTCATAGCAAAGTATCATAGCTCGTACCATCAAATGCTCATTTTTCTTGTCAGGCCAGGTAATTCTTCCATTCATTTAATTCTAATTTAAAAACTACCAAGCCAGGTCTGACTTAGGTGGGGCTCCAGTTTGGTGTGGATTTGCCTTGCATTCTGAAAGTAGCCTTCAGGCTTTTCATCTGTGTCGCACAGACTCTACCCATTAAAAGAGCTGTCATTTGCATACAGTCAGGAGAAGAAAAAAATTAAAAGCTACCAGAGACACATGCTATGTTAAGAAAAAAAAAAACCCCACATTTTTTTTGTCCATCTTCATTTTCTACTTCCTTAGATCTGCAAGCTTATCACCTGTGGTGTATACTTGTCATTTAAATTCTTATTGCAGTCTCAACCCATTTTTCACTTACTACACGTTTCTAAAATCCTCATACAACACGTTACACAAGCTTTAAACAATCGAATGTCCCATACATGCACTCCCTAGTTTTCAGCTCACCTTAGAATTTCAGATTCTTAAATGGGAGTATTACGAGGTTACAGACTGTCTTCAGGAAATTCACAGCGAGTTTCAGCCTCTCGCCCTGTCCCCCTCCCACCCCTTGCAGTAACCCCCTGCAGTGGTTCATACTGTCAGCATTTTTTTTTCCCCATCTAGTTACCAATGGTTATAGTCTAGAGTAGACTTATTACATGTCAGCTCTTGTTCTTCGTTATCTTGAAGAGGTTAGAAGAGGTTAAATTACCTATGCTTAAACTGTCTTTGCCGTATGTTTGTAAGTAAGCCTCCTCCTAGATGGCAAAAAGGAAAAATACACAAGAATTTAAAATTGCAGTGTTGATGTTGCTTTATAGACTTGTCCATACTAACAGCATTTAAGGCAAGATTTTTGTTGTAGAACAGAAAGCAGTTTGCAGAGATACAGCATTTGCTTACGTTTCCCTTCCTCGTCCCTTCCTGTTTTATTCTTACAATATTGCACTTGTTCACTGTAGCTATCAGAATGCATTGCCATTTTAGAACTATAGATAACCATACATTCTAATTTTCTTTGTGATCTAATGGCCTCAAATAAAACATTTTGCACCATTAAGATTATGTAGCATCTACTTACTGCTTATGAAGGCATGTAGTGATAAATAGTGTTCTCTTTGAAAAACGTCTCTCTGATGTATTTTTTGCCTTTATGAAAAGGGTTATTCTTAATAGCTGAAGCAACTTAGGTATAAGGAACTGGTGAATGTGATTTGTTGTGCAATGTGTACATTTCTATTAATAATCTATCTATTCTTCTAATTTGGTATAATGAATAAGAATATATGGTTACTGTGTTTGTTGTTTATCTTTTGTACTTGAAGGTGTCTGCCTTTGCATAAAGTGACATAGGAGTATCGTTGGTCAAGGCAATGGCTTTCAGTGTTTCTGCTTTGAAAGAAAATGATGGAAGTGGCAGTTGGACCTACAGATCATCGCTCTCTACCAAACCAGATTGCATTGTCAGGTGGACTGGGTTTGCTTCAGGCTGGAAAGCTGCTTTGATGTCTAGTCCTTGGTCACAAAGTGCAGCGTATCGGCTGGCTGAGGGCCGCACCTTCTTTGGCTTGGTTGTCTGAGGTGGTTGTTGCCACTGAGCTATAGATTAAAAAGGAAAGAAAATAAATGTTAGCCATCTTGAGCTGTGCGACAAGGCATGCCAGATGAACAATCAACCCTTTGTAAAGGAGATACTGATTTCTGAGCAGCAGAAAACCATTATATCAAAGGTAAGTTTATTTCATTTCTTGGTCATGGTTGGTTTTTGGTTTTTTTCCCCCCTCAGCATTTAGTTTCACCTTCAGATGTGGCACGTAAAAACAATAGTGCTTGTGTTTGTTACTTTGCCTTTTTGGCATTGCGTTCTTCCTTTCCTTGCGTCACTGAGAAGGGTAACAGCAGGGGGTTTGTTTCCATGCACTGATATTACAGTGACAGGCCTGTTCAAGGGTTATTTGTTGTATATAAAAGGAAATCACCTGGTTGCCATTGCCACCCCTTCTGTGCTGAAGAATGCTGAGCCAAGTCTCTAATTCACACGTCCCACTACCACACACATACACCCCCCCCACAACCATCCTTTGTCATTCCAACCTCTCCCCTTCCCCCTGCCCTACCTCCCTGAATTCTTATTACAAGAAGACTGGTAAGCAATTTTGGTTTAAGAAAACATTCACTATGTAAGGGGCTGCTTTGGAGCAAACTGAATAATTAAGCAGAAAGCCATAAAAACATCTACTACGCTATTGGTAGCTGTCACAGGTGTGTTACAGACTCATGTATGAAAGAATACCAAAGGTTAGGGAAGTGCTAGCAGAGCAATAGTAATAATGATCCACAAAAATAATGTACTCATGCTGTTATCTGTTGTTAATTAGCTATATTTAATATACTAAGCAAAACCCAAAAGCATGCATGCTTGTTTTGCTTTAGGTATCTGAAAGATGGCGAAATGTACTTTGACAGAGCATTTGTTGTCTTGATGTGGATCGTTATTATTGAGGAGAAACTATAAACAAAAGAGAGAGAGACCAATGTAAACCATTCTGTGAATAAACTGAAACTTAGAGAACTGTTGCTTTTGAGGGGATTAATGTGATCAGGAACACTGAAGTCACTTACTATAAACATCCAACCTGGCAGTGCAAGACACAATCCCAGCCTCATTCTTAGCTGACACGGTATACCAACCGGCATCCTCCTTTGTAGCTCCCTGAATAAGCAGGCAAATGTAGCCGTAGTTATCCTGGTGCATGCTAAAAAAAAAAAAGAGAAGTAGAAAATTACTACTTGAATTGCAAAAGAGTGTAGGCTATTTTTAAATGTAAACAGACCCAATCCTAGCTACAGATCAATTATAGTCCACTTTTAATTAACATGGAGCTTCCTCTGAAATTAGCAAGTGGAAAAAAAGCCCTTGAGTATGCTTGGTAATTTGGCAGTTCAATATCCTGTATTGAAAACTAAGAAGCAAAAATGCATGAAGTAACTTCTCTTTCACCATTAAGACATCTGGAAATCTGATTTAAGTAGTAGGGACACCAGAACTTAGCCAGACTTTTTGGGGAAAGGATAAAAAACTTGAGGAACAAGATACTGAAATACTCTTAGTTATTTAGAAAGACAGCAATTTATTGCAGTGTCTCATATCAGTAACGAGTTCCTTTTCTTGCAGTATGAGTTCACTTTTAAACATTTGTGCAAAATGTTATCAAATATTGAAGACAAGTTTATAGATATTAGAATATTAAAAAAAAAATTTGAATCGTAGTTGCTTAACTACACAGCAGAGTTATGAATCACGGTTTCTGCTGAGAAACAGATAGCTGATTTACTTGTGAGCCTAGGTTTTCACCAGTGAATGAATATAAGTCTTAGTTCTAGGAGAGAAAAAATATTCCACATGCATAAAGTGCAAAGATAGGGTTTTTTAGTCCGAGGCTGGAAAACAACTAGCATTTTAATTCTGGCTCAGCCACCAGGCTGGCCACAAGTTTGAGTACATGCCATAAATTATTGCAATGACTAGTTAATACTTTTGAGCTGCTGTTCACACAAAGCATTTTTAAGACCTTCTAGGTTTTCATTTGTGCTATAGGATAACAAGTCATTGAAGTTATACATGGGGAGATTATTCTAAGTCAGTCTAACCTCACTCGGTCAGTGTTGTAGGTGAGTGACTCATTCTCCTTCTTCCAAAATATCTGAGGAGATGGCTCCCCCGAGATTCGACACTCCAGTCGCACTGGGAATCCCTCAGTCACACCTGTGTTTTGTAGCTTCTCTATAAACACAGGTGCTTTGTGCACTTCCTTAGCTGTGAAAATAAGGGTTGCAGTCATGTTAGACTAGTCTATGAAAAATGTGGCCTTACTTTCAGCAACATGCTAAAAACCAATAATGAAAAATCTAAGTGGCAGGAAACGTGTGGTCATCATTAGTCACAAAGTCCAATCCTGGTTCATCTGAAGAAAACAATCCCAACCAGTATTTTAACAGGGGAAAAGCAAGCGCTAATAGTGCTGAGGGTTGCCCCCCTTCCCGAAAGGATTGAAATGTGGAGCATGAAGACTCAATAAACGGGCTGCACAGTGCTTGTTAAACAGTGCTCCTTCATACTCCATAAAAGGATGAGCTTTTAATTATAGAAGGAACTGCTGCTCTACCAGAAGGCTGGAATGGCATTAGTCTAATACGCCGTGAAACACACAAATCGTCTCATACCAGCTACCCACTGGTAGATCTGGGTCTGCACAAAGTGCCATTAAAAACCCCATTCAAGTAAATAGTCTGGTTCATGGCCTCGGCTGCACAACAGCCCACTTTTCTTAACCGTGTGCACAGAGGGTACTTGCCAGTCAGCTTATGCCACAGCATAACATAAATGTATCACCTATTAACTATACTATGGTTCTGTTACTGCTTGGTTTCCTTTCCTTATGCCCCTACCACGTCATTTGACAGCACTTATATTTTCCTTTATCATCTTAGCCTGACAGTGCTGAGTGTGGGAGCTTAGTAGTACGAAGGTGTTACCTGCAACAACGAGCTCCAGGCTGAATGTATTTTCACCAGCTCGATTGCTGGCAATGCACGTGTAGATTCCAGCATCTCTGGCTGTGACTGGTTCTATGATCAAGGAGTGCACGCCATTCTCCCGCACCAGCATTTTGTGTGAACTATCAGGACGAATTGGTCTTCCATTAAGTTGCCAGCTTAAATCTGGAGTTGGTAATCCACTAACCTTAAGTGTAAACAGAACAATGGGAAATGGTCTTAGCCATACGAAACACTGGAGGAGTCCTGACTTGTTACTTCAGAGAAGTTTGGTTTTGTTTGCTGCTGCAGGTGTACCACAAGATTTAAAGATCTAATTCCGTCCTGAATTACACATTGAGTCAGTTGTATTCATTTACTTACTTTCTGGCCAACTCCCTGAATTCCATCATGTCTTATGGGCGTGACTGAAAAAAGATCAGCATTTAGATATGCTAGAAGCTAAACAATAATACATTGCAAAACAAGAGGCAAAGTGACACCTTTTGTCTTTTTTTATTGTTTGCTTTTCACGTGGAATGAGAAGATACTCCTTTCTAGATTAACTTCTTGTGGAAAACTTGCAGACAAAAAGATGTTAGCCGACTAGTCACAGAACTCTTAAGTTCCATTCCACACAGGTGTAAGCTAGTGACAGCCTGCACCAGTGAGCGAATGCTTGGTCTATGCGAACAAGTCTTGTACTTTTGAAAGCCGTGCCGTTTGCTGTGGGTACTGCTTGAAAACAAATAGCTTCTCACAAATATATCAGCATAAAGTAAACAGAAGACCAAGCCTTAATTGATTCCATTAGGCAAAGTCATAAATCAAGATTATATTGTTTGAAGCTTTAATGGGGAATCGAAACTCAAGTAGTAAAAGGACTTAAAATGGAGCAGCACACTATAAAGACAGTGTGGCCTGCTTCCATCCACACCCTAGAATAGCTGAGTTCTAAAAATCAGTTTCCCATGAGCTGTAAGAGATTTGCCTGAAGCACATTCACTGGAGAGGAGAGCATTGCTCATGAGCAGTAAAATTATTTGACCAATTGACAGGCACTGAAACTGCCAATAGGTACAGTAGCTTTAAAAAACACTAACTTGGGTTTTGAATCAGCTACTGTAATTGAAAAGTTGCTGCTGTCCATCACACGATACTTGCCTTGCAGTCCATTCTGCATAGCTTTCCTTCTTGAACAGTCAGGTCTCCAGGAGCCTGCAGAAAATGAGGCCGGAAGAATCGTTCCTGAATTGGTTCATTTTCATCACCACTGTCCCTTGAGCGAGATCGTGGTCTTAAAATAACATGAAATAAAGGTAAATTATTTTTTTTCTCTGCTAAATCAGAACCACCAAAATCACTTACAAGACTGCTTTGAATTTTAAATCACTCCTCTGACCTATACCATAATCACTCTATATTTACACACATACACTGGTAGCATTTGGCTCATCGGGCTGAGTTATTTATGATACTGTACTTATTAATTACTTTCATTTAATTCACATGTTGTGGCAAAATATGATCTAGAAAACAACTTGCAGCAGAATAATTGCGTGTGATAATAATTTATTTATACATGATTCTATGATTTGTTTAGAGCTCATCTTTAAATCACTGAAATAGAAATGAAAGAAGTTGGTAGACCTCAGCATATGGCTTCAGTTCCCCATTGCCAATGCCCTGCATATTTAATCCCTTCGCTGCTGCTGATTACACCAGAAAGTGCAGGTACTGATCGTTAATTATGTTCCCCTTTCAGAAAATAACAGCAGCTAAACGCTAACTCATCTCAGTTGAGAAGAGACTTTTCACACAGGACTTTTGTTTTTCGCCTTCTCCTGTTCTACACCACTGAAGACCATACGGAAAATTCTCTGGATTAAAGTTTAACTGCTCTAGATACTTAGTCCTCATGGAACAGGTTTTTTGTTTGAGATATTCTTGAACATTTTCAAAACCACCAAACTGTGACAATGAGAATTTCATTTGTGACCAATAGGAAGAAAAACTTTGGTCATTAAATTGTTCTTAATAAAGGTCCTGTAAAACTTTTACTAAAAAATACGAAGAAGGAAAAATAACTCCTGAGTCCAGAAACAGTATTAATCACCATAAAGCTTCCACAGTACCATTTAAGCCATTTTCAGCATCAGCTATTCTTGCCTGGTAATTTATCTATCGAATCTTTTTGTAAGTAAGTGGTTCCTCTAACTGGATTTTTTTTCCAATTGAAATTAGCATTATTCCCTTTGTGGGATTTAGTAATCAAAGAAACTTGTAATTGAAAGAACATTTTAGATCAGTTTTTGTCCATGCCTGATCAACTCCAATGGATTCCATTCTACAGCCAACTGTTGCCTACAGTAACATCCTCTAGCAGGAGCTTACACAAGTGAAATGGAAAACAGAAAAGTGTTAAGAATTTGTTACCAAAGATTACTTTTTTTCTCATAGTATGTTCTTGAATCATGAAAATGAAGTTTTCAAATTACATATTTGAAAGGAAACCTAAATCAGCATGCCCTTTAGTCTAGAGTCAGAAATAAATAATGCATTTCTTTTTACCTCTTTGTAAATTTAACTCTAAATTGCAGACTACTTTTAAGCCTTTACCTTGAGAGGTGAAACCGGGGTTATTTTAATTTGAAAATATTTTGTGGTTTTAAAGAACCAATGAAATGAGTAGAGCCGAGTACTTCAGCTGTTTGGGAATGACAAATTGCAATGGCCTAGAATACCCTTGGATTAGTTGTGGGTTCTTCAGAGTTCTGATGTGGGCATCAAATAGCGAGGATTAGTTTCAGCAATAGTGACATCACGTACTAAACGTGTCCAGGGGAGACTCCATGGGTTGGTGCGGCGCAATGCATTAGGCATTTCAGCAAGCAAGAAGCTGGGGAAGACTTTATGACTTGACCATATGAAACGACCACTACTTAAAGGAGATAATGGAGATTAAGTTCAAATTAAGCCTCTAATTGAGAGCAGGGGCAATAGGAATATTTCTTTTTTAAATCTTCCTGAAATCTCATGCATTTTAAGATGATTTATTTGGGACTCTGGCTGCAGCATGCCACAAGACAGCGTAGGTGCTACAATGTTGAGCACTGTGTTGTCTGAGGGATCGAGCCCAAGCTTTGTACATGTCAGACAATGCAAAAGTTTTTCCTTCGCTAAATAATGCTAAGAAGATAATGTTTGCAAGCTACGCAAATTTCAGAAAGATACATTAAAAAAGAAATAGCAACTACAAAGGGTGTTTTAAAAAGTCTGTGACATAGTGAAGATGACAAAAACCAGTTCTGCCAGGACACATTCTCTAAGAGACTAAAAATACGTCAGGAAAAAGCCTGTCAACAGTGTAACAAGTCATAAAGTTCATTAAGCTAATAATTACACTTGTAAAAATAAAAAAAAGATTTTGTTGCTCTCAAGCAGAAATGCTTGTAGAAATAATATTGTAATGTCACAGGAGTGTTACTTATCAACAGTACACAGCAACACGTGTGGCGAATACAATAGTATACAGGGGAGCACAGTATAGCGGTATGTTACATGAGAAAAAGCGGATGGTGGGAGTCTGCCGTAGGGAGGTTTGATGACATGCCCATATTTCATCATACGGGTGGGAGAGGTGGGACATGTCATTGAACAGGAATAGGGTTGTGCTGAATGCTTAGCAGAAACAGACCTTCCGTAAAGAAAGGGAGCGGGATGAGCCCTTCATGTACGGTGTGACCCGTTGCAGAGACACCCACGCTGTTGCCTTCAGAGAGGTACGGAAGTGTCAGCTGCTCACTGCTCTGACCTGTACCTATCTTCCTTTCTCCTGCCCCTGTTTTTAAAGACTTTTTTGCCTTTTCTCACCTTTGATTCAGCTGAAACCTGACTCTTCATGGCAGCTTTTCCCTTCAGGGATTAACAGACTTTTCATTTTACCCGTTATTTACTGGACAGGCTGCACCGGACGGACCCAGCTTTTCTCGGGCTGTTCTCACACTGTGGCAATAGCAGGACATTCCCCTCCGTAAGGAGCCTGAGCTTTGGGCTTAACAGGCCTAAACGCGAAGCGCTAGAGGGGGAGGTGGTAGGATGCCTCACAGAGATGCTGGGAAACACTTTCAGGACTGCGGGAAGCCCAGCTTGTTCAGAGCAGGAATAAGACCGAGCAGATCTTTTAAACACAAACCTCGCTTCCTAATACTTTCTAGTTATCGGAGGCAGCAAGAGAGCCTGTTGCATGTGCAGCAGTTCTACAGTACATGCTACTATCACTAATTGTTACAGGAATCATTTCTTCATTGCACATTGACTGTATGTAATTACATCTATTCTATATATTACTTGGACAATATGGAGATTCTCTGGCCATTGTGACCATTAAGCAAAACAGGTGCCTCATCATGGCAGCACGTTCTGTTTGGGTAACCCAAATTAATTTTTTTGTATCATCATCTAAAGATGTCTAAGCTGTGCTAAGTAGCCTCATAAATGCTTTGGGTAATAAAAAAAAAAGTATTCAAAGGGAAAATTCCCTTATACGGTCCAAAAACATAAACTGAAGTTTTGTATGTGAATAATTGTAACCTCACCAAAGATAAGTTTAATACTTTATGACTCATAATCCCTTACAAGAACCTGAACTGATATCACTGAAATACTAAAATATTTCTAATGTAAATCTAATAAACTTCTTTGGCGTGCAGTTATTTCTGACCTTCCTTTAAATGAATGCTTATTAAAAGCTGCAGAAAGCGCAGGTTCCTGGTAGAATCCTGGACAGGCGAGATGTTTAGAAAAGTGAAAAAAAAGTGACAAGGTCCTTCCCAACAGCTGACAGTATCATTTGAGATGATAAGGAGTAATTAGCGAACATCACCAAGAAAGAAGCCAGGCAAAATTAAAGATACTTGAAAGCCATGGCATTGCAGAGGTCACTTATACTTCTGAGAATGCGAGGCTTTGCACAAATTTTTAGACAGCAGAGGTCATATCTCTTCCTGAATGCCACACTTTTAACTTACCTTCTTACTTCGCGTTCTATTTCTTACCATAATAATTTTGCAAAACACATGTTATTAAAGGAAGGAAAAAAAAAAAAGCTTCAAGTACCTTCTCATATGCGGCTGTCCAGAAGGCGACCAAGGACTGCGGCCTCTTTGATTTACAGCTTGAACCATCAGCCTGCCTGTGCAACTTACTCTGCCCTGTGATGGTGATGGAGAGGAGGAACATTAAAAGACTTTTTAAAAAGCACATAATAAATGTTCAACCTGATCTCTTCCTTTTTTGCCCACCTGTTACAGAGTCTGTAACACAATCTCTTCTTTCATTAAGTCACTGAAAAACATTTGTCAAGATACCTTCTGATACTATAAAATATTATCAGCTGCCAATCTAACACAGAACAAGCTGGAATAATTGTGACTGACAGAGTCATGGTTAAAACGTTCCACCTGGAAGTTTGACAAATGTGTGGAAGATGTACAGCTGCCTGCCTCCCCCCAGACTGGGAGCAGTAAGGCCACACCCGCATCAGCTTTGGGGTGTGTTTCAGTGCTGCAAGCTCCACACTCAAGTCTGTTGTCATAAAAGTGACAAATATTTTTGTCCGAGTAATTCCAGGGTTGCAAATAGCTGTGCGTTAACAACCGGCCAAAGCCCATCGAAAGACAATTTCACTGGGGTCACAAGCAGCCTTCAAACAGCAATGACCTTGCTGTTACTGCTGGGCTGTTAGAAATGAAGTCTCTGTGTCCCACTTTTTTTCCCATGACCGAGTCAGTCCACAAGAACAATACTTGTGTTAAAATAACCCATTGTGCATGACCTGCAGCAATTTCTTAAGCAAAAGCTTTTTTGTGTGTTACAAGACCATTAGAACCACCTGGAACAAATACATTTCTATTTTAGGCACCACTGCATACTGATCTTTTTCTGGAAGGCGATTAATTCACATGTTTTGGGATAATTTCTGCGTACCTCAATATGTGAAGGCATCACAAACACACACAAAGGACAGTAAGGAATTTGGGTAGGGAAGAACAAGCAGGAAGCCAAAGATTTGGAAAAGTCATGGGATGAATGGGAAGGAAGTAATTCATGAGAAGATGGCTTAGAAAAGAAGGGAAATCCAGATCAAGGACTACGGATGCACAGCGCAAGGAAGCGGAGAGCATGGGAGAAAAGGAAAGGAGATGAAAATGAGGACTTGCCTCGAGCCCACGCAGCTCATGGAAAGAGATCGGTTAAGGACTGTAACCTGTAACTAAAGGCCTACAACAGGCAAGGGTTTGGGTTTTTCCTAAGGCCAGGGGTCAGTTTGCTCTCGATGCAGTTAGACAGCAAATTTTACTGTAAACCCCAGTGGTGCGTTGGAACCTTAATTCCAGAGCACTGCGCTTGGCGTCACAGGCAATGCTGCCTGCCGGGTTAACTCCCAGGGACGGTTTCCAGGGTGTGTCAACAAATCATTTCACATACATAAATCCTGTAATATTGGTCCAGATCGCGAGATGGCATAAACTGGCAAAGCTTTAGCGAACTGAATCCTTTGCTTTAATAAAATCAACTATTTCTTTCAACTAAGAACATGCCTTTTTGCTTTGTCGCTTGGTAGTTCCAATAGCAATGGCCAAAACACAGCAACAGCCTAGCAAGTATCTACACTCCATCAGAATCCTGATGTAGGCTCCCTTATATTTACGTATTTCGCTTTTCTTAAAGGTTGCCAAATTTGCCTAAGTTTGTGATAGCTTTGAGATGTGGACAACTTTCCATTAGAATTGCGAAGGCTATGCCAAAATTATTTCCACTCAGGATGACTTAAAAGAATTGGAATCCAGATATTTGAGTGTGAAAGGCTAGTACATTAACTCATAGCCCTTCTTTGCCTCCATTGTACTGTTAAACACATAGTAAAAGCAAGCAAATAGTAGAAGAGATAAGTATGTTTGCTTGGGAATTACGCTGTAAAGAAAAAATAGAATGGGCTTGGTGAAACAGGCAGATGTTTTGTTTAGGGGAGCCAGAGGAGGATGCGTCTGGTTCTTCTCCAAAGAGGGGGAAAAAGCACAGATGCAGAATTGTATCATTTAACAAAACTGCTTTTTCAGTCCCCAAACTGGGAATGACACAAAATCAGCTCATTTTAGTACATCGAAAAACCCACTAACAAAGTAGTGTCATCGATGACCAGAACCGATAGCCTAGGTCACTGTGGTGTCATTGAATGAGCGTGACCCAGAATAAGAAATGCTAAGAAGCAGGCCCTGAATATTCAGGGACAGCGTTCAGCACCCAAAACACGACAGTTTATTCACTGAGTTCTCTGAGACTCTGGATCACACAGTGACACTACAGAGGCAAACTGTACGTACACTAACACAACACTTACAGGCAGATGAACAAGATTCACTTCTTACCTTGAGCATGTATGTATGTATTTATCATTTTTAAACCTGCTGTGAATCTCCACAATTTAAATGGTACCAAGTGTTCTAACACAATGGTGATCTATGTGTAGAAGCTCCCAGCTTGAACAATTCCCTTGCCCTTATGCGATTTCATCATTCTTTCTTTATTTCTGTTATTTGTACATGTAGCAATAATAGCTAAACTACCTGGATTTAAGCACTGCAGTTTGTAGCATCTAGCCTAAAACTGCTATTTGTGCATTGTCTGTGCACGCAATCCCATCCGTTCACAAGCACACTGCAGGTCAGACAGCTAAAGAGCAAGGCAAAAATGGCAGCGTCATGCTAAGTAACCTAGCAACGTTCATAACAGAGCACAACACTCCTGTTCGGAATAAACTCTGTCTCAGTGATACGGTTTGTTATTTTACAGTGTGATTCTACTTGCAGGCCTGGTCTTGGCAAGATATTTGGTGCTGCAGAAGAAAATCATTCGTTACATCCCTAAAGTTGTGTTACTGCCTTGGTTTCTCACATGCAAATCAATTTGCTGTGCTGCAGGAACAGTGGATTGAAAAAGTTACTTCAGTGGGATGCATGAACTGTAAGTTTAGCTATGTCCAAGGCACTAGTGGGTTTTTGTTGGATACATCAGCTCCTGTATTGGGTCTGTGCAGAAGAAGTAATACTACAAAACCAGTAACGCTCCATGTTTCAGAAAACCATTGTTTAAGACTTGGAGATCAAGGCAGGAGACCTCCCCTCTACATAGTAAGCACCAGAATTCTTCACCTTACGGAACTGCGATCACTGCCTAATGTAAACATGTTGAGGTGTGACACGCTCCCACTCATTTCAAAAAGTTGGCCTCAGCCAGTGAGCAGTGTCAACAGAAGAAAAATTAAATCGCTGGATTGGGTTACTTCTGCTGGTAAATTGGATTTTTTCTCCCTTTATAGCATGTATGCAATCCATGCTCAGGATACTGAGATGTTATCAGCTGAAACAAATGGTGGAAGAGTGATTGAAAACAACACCCCTCCCCTCTGAAACCCCAAACCATAGGAAAAAAACTGCTGTTGAATTGCTAATCTCTTGGAGATACAAAGGTCCCACCCTACTGATGCAAGATGAAAACAGAAATCTAACTTACATACTTTATGGTGACCTCATCATTTAATTAAATCATGTATACGTAACATGAGATCGTTTTCTGAAGATTTATGCCCAGAAGCACGTTTCCTCTGGAGCCAAGCCTTCATTTACCTGTGGGTTAGCAGCCATGATAGTGTAATTCCCATCATCATCCAGGGTGGAGGCTGCAGTATGCAGTGAACAAGTTCCATCAGGTTCTCTTTGAATTCGGTAGTGATCACTTCGTTTAGAAATTTGCTTCCCATCTTTAAACCAATAAATCTGCAGGAAGAAAAACAAGGCACGGCTGCTAAGAGGTGGGTGCTCATTGTCATCATTTCTCAATTAATAGTGCTAACGAATCTTAACTGCTGAAAACTGCTCCAGTAAGCATTAAAGGAAAACTGATTTGATCAACTAGTAGAAGTGCAGAACCACACGCCATGAACCACTTTCACTAAACGCCAAGCTACAGATTAGCAATTGTTCAAAGAGAAAGACAGCAGCGTGAACATTTACTGAAGAAATGTAGAGGTCCGTAAGGGCTGTGCCCATCCCAAGCACAGAACGGCAGCCAAACATTACAAGAACTGAAAATAACGTTACAATGAAAAGATCTATTTCAGAGAAGACTACTAATTTTTAATTATTATTTCACTTAAATCTGAAGAAGTTGCAGAAAGAACTTAAGAATGCTATTGCTCTCTCTCCAGAAAAGAAAAACATAAACCAAGGTAATTATAGGAATAATTAATTCAGCGATGAATAAAATAGAAGTAATGATCTCACAGCTGAAACACCAGTTTTGTCTCGCATCCATTACACTGACTGGACCGGACCAAAAAGCCCGACGGGGAATCAGCCGCTTGGGCTGGCAGCGAGCAGTTCAGCCTGCCAACAGGCCAGCTCAGCAGAATTACACGATTGAAACCAACCGCGTCACCCCAGTGGGACAGACACCTCCAGAAATGGACAGCTTTACAAAGCGATAGGAAATACTTCAAAGCAAGTCGGCACATAGCTAGCCTTTAATAATTGTACGCCAACACCAGCACGGTTCCAAGCTGTACAGAACAGTTACATTATCTATCAGACAGGTCTTTTCCATTACTTTTGATACATAATTCTAGTCTCTGGCTGACCCAAGATCTACTTTCAGCCAGCCAAAAAAATGATGTATGCAGAATAATATTTTATAGTAATCCACAAATTACACAAAAAATATGGAAGTGGTTTTAATGCCTCAAACTTGAGGCAAAAAAAATCCACCCCAAATATTTTGACCTAGCTTTGGGGTTGGGGTTTTTCTGCTATATTTTAAAAATAATATAAACCCCCAAACTGAAATCCACTGGAATCAAAAGAAAAGCCTGCTGTATGCATGAAAACACATGTGAAAAATTTTCTATCAGGAAGGCTGTAGTCAGCTCCCCAAGCCCACGTTTAAGTAGGACATTATTTACTTGTCATTTCTGAAGCGTGTATTATACCGTAACATCAGCGGTGTTCAGCTTTTCTTAAGTCGCTTGTGCAGACACCTAGACAATTTTTACAAGGTTAACTCGTACAAAGCACGACAACCGTATTTGTCCTGGTCGCACGACTGCTGGGACTATTTCGGATGAGGAAAACATACACATTGTCCTCAGTCTAATTCTTAAAGCGGGAATTTAGGTCTTACAGTGAGGAAAGGGTGCCGGCTTTCCAGTAAAAATGAAGTGACAAAGCACAGTTCCTGACGGAGTTTCAAATGCCAGGTTCTTCACCTGTGCCAACATTTCAAAGCTCTAAATTCACTCACTTGGGGGGAAAAAGTTAAGGATATACTTTTAAATTTCACAAAAAGACAATGGAGAAAGTTTTGGAGGGAATGAGTGGAAATTTCCCTTAAAAATTAATTACCGTGTATGGTTTTTATATTAGCAAGCATTATGTGTAACTAGAAATGATTTCATTTCCTCAATAGCTGGTTATACTTGTTTCCCATTTTGTCTGTCAGCAACCTTGCAGAGACTCTGTGGTGCTAACAAAAGATTTAGTCATGTCTTCTCGTCTGCTGACCGAGCGCTTACTGGAGATGCAAAAGATATTTGATCACTTATACACACATGCTAATGGATGCCGGTAACACCATAGCTGCAAAAAATGAGTTTTAACTTGCATGCTTCACATGTGTCATAACGTTGCTTGGAAATCTACTGTGTTAAGTAGTAATTATTTAATAACAATGCACTTATCAGAAATATCAGGAGACATGCCAGGAATTATTACATGGAAATACATGCAAATATGAACTGAACCAGCTATCCAAACAAACATCATGCCTATGTTGTCCAATACTTCTTTCCACTAAGTTTATAAGCATTGGCATCACTGGGTTTTACTTATGAGCAGTAAATTCTTAATATTACCTTTATCTGAGATGATAGAGTTAATAAGGAAAACACTACCACTGCTGGAGACAATGGCCCTTGCAGTGAAGTATTTTTTTTCCCTAGGATACCTTTTAATAAATGTACCATTAAACTATGTAAGCACTGAACACTGCATCTGGACTGCTTTTATTTGCACCAGATTTTCAGAAACCAATGTGTAATTACTAGAAATACAATGGAATACACAGTACAAAAGGGTTTTTTTGATCCTGGGCAGCACAGGCATTTTTAATCACTAAGAATTACATTCAGCCATGTGAAGAGCAAACAGTATGAGCTTTATGCCACATCCATGTTTCAATTAACCTTTTGTATGGCACTGTCCTAATTCTGAAGAGAAAGATCCCTTTAAAAAGAGGTATTCCACAATCCCTCCTGTATAACCACAGGTTCTCATTTTAATGAGAAAATAGTTTTACATTACACTGAAGGTTATAATAAAAGTAGACTCAGATTTAAAAAGTCATATTTATGAAGACAGAATTTGCACATCAGTATTCAATTTACATGGCATGTTCAGGGGAAAAAATAATCAAGCCAATAACCCCGCTTAGAAAAATCCCTTGTAATGAATGCCAGATTTTAGAAACACCAGTCCTTCCCAAAGCCATTCCTTGGCAGAGCTGACAGAATACTTAGAAGGGAGGAGCTTCAAGTTAGTAAATTATTTCCAGCTTTTCATTTGCCAGAGCAAAGAATTTATACAGGGCAACACTTCCAGCCTCAACAAATGACAGCAGAAGGGCAGCCCTCAGCCATTGAGCATTTCCAAACTGCTATCTTGGCATGCTCCAGCAGATGAGGGGAAGATAGAGCCTTTGACATTTGCAAAGCTCAGCTAACAAGTAGCCATCCAACAGGACTGAAATTGGTTCCATCCCAAGCAACTTAACAAATCCCACAAAGCATCTGCAAGTGAATGGAATAAAGGGTCACACTCCCAGGTGCAAAAGCAAATCACTTCTTAATGTGCATGCAGAAAAAACGCTGCAGAAAAACAGAACATCGTCTCTGAATCAGTGCATTCACATCAGATACTCCTTTATAATGCTGTGCTTTAGGGGAAGTACTAACTATGTGGTTTCTTGGCCGTGCAATCCCTAACGCCAAAACAAGGTGAGTGAGGGAAAGGAGACATCCTCTTTCATCTGTCTGAAATCAGATTAAGATGCCTGTGAAACTACACCTTAATTGAAAACTGTGAAAATTAGGGAATGGTGAAGCTGACTAAGGCTGACTCATAATAGGTCATCTAGCAACTTAGTCATAAGCCTTGGGCAAAAAGATTACCTCTCTGGCAGCGCACTGCACCTCGAACACCAACAAACCCATTTGTCTTCCACCCTCATTCAGCACAACAGACTCTGCTGTACGGTCATCTCAAAAGTCACGCTGGACACCAAAGGTTTGGTTTCTAGTCAGACTGGGCTAATCTTCTCAGCGTGTGTCTTCAGTTTGAAGCAGGAGTGCTTTTGCGATATGAGTATACTGATCAGCCCCACTTACTCAGCAGTGGTTCACATCGTGTTGTGGTCTTTGAGCACAGAATTGGATTCCTTTCAGATGAAATGAAGCCAGAAAATGTGCTCCAAGAACACATCTAATGTGCTGCATCTGCTTCAGTCTGTGGGACAAGATTAGAGCTAGCCTGAAGTAAAACCTCCTGAAATGCACGCAGGGATGGCTATTTCATTCTGGTCTGTACTACTAATTAATGTAGACGTAGCCCTAGTTCTCTGTTGTTCCTTCTCTGCTACCTGACAAAGTCCAGTTTTCTTTTTACAGTTTGTGCAGTAGCATACACCTATATCATTGGACACGTAAAGTCATTTGCATTTATCTCTGTTCAAAATCCTAAATACTTGTAAAACTTACACTAGATGAGAGATTTGGATGTGGCTGCTTCTGTGAAGATCTTATCTAAGAGATAAGGCATCTTTGATCTTGTCTAAGAAGAAAAGAACCCCTATCCACAAGAGGTCACTGTAAGAGCTGCAGGGACCTCACAGGGAAGATACTGTCTTTGGCAAGGAAGCTGAAGAAGCTACTGCTGTGTGCCTGCTGCATAATGAGTCTGTTGATTGCCAAGCAATTTTTGAAATGGTTAAAACACAACCTACCAAAGGAAGGCATTCTTCCAGACTACTGACATCACGCAACTGGTACTTTTACACTTGCTACAAGGAAATGCCTCCCAAGCCCAACCCTCCCTCAGAAGCTCATCATTAAAACTTCACCATCGTGTCTCATCTTGCTGTTGGGATATATGGGAGCTTATGGTATTTTATTATGGCTTCCTCTAACTTTCAATAAAACTTAGTCTTGTTAGGGTGTGTAGATATAAACTCTGCAACACCGAAGAACACAGAGATACGACACCAGCTCCTAAAACAGAAGCAACATTTTTGCATTAGCATGTTGCTGTGCCTGAGCTAATTAACCACGTTAACCTGATAAGGCAGCTTTTGGGACTACCATGCCAGCTCACACGGGGTTTTCTAGCATTGTGCTGCATTCTGTGGTACAGATGTACCCTGAAGGTAACTCTGAAAGTGACGGAAGTATTACTTCTAGGTAAAATAACTAAGATGAAGTCTCAGGAGGGAGTAACTAAGAGCTGAAGCCTCATTGTTGACTAGTATGAATCTAAATAATTCCAGAAATGTCAAAAGAGATTTGACACTTTATACCAGCTAAGAATCTTTCTTGTCAAGAGACAACATCTGCTGTTCCTGTAAGATACAGCCCATACAGTCCAGAGGCTGACTGTAAGGTGCCAATACAGAACACTTCAGAGCATTTCTAGAAACATTTACCCTCTTTTCTTACCTTTGGCTTTGGGTTTCCTGCTACTTTGCATGTAAATGTGACTGGCATTCCCTCAAAGATTTTGTAATGCTTCAGCTTTATCTCAAAATATGGTGACATACTGTTATCAACAGGTTCATCTCCATGTTGCACCTCATCATCTGATTCTTCCACAGGAGATCTCTCGAGCCTGTATTCAATTTCACTGATCAATCTTTGCTCAAAGCTGGAGACTTTATACTCCTGTCAAACAAGAAAGGTACATATTAGTGTTCAGCTTCAACACATTGCTCAGCAAGATGTGTTCCTAATTCTTTTTTTTTCTACTGATCTTTGACAATACATTAAGGTTTTACATATAAAAGGAAACTGTATCTTGTTGAAGAAAAACACTATAATCCGTGTCTTCAATAACTTCCCTATGAAACAACGAAGACATCTGGTATGAGGCAAAAATTGTATTTCATGTTATCTTAAGGTCTAATTTATAAGGAGAAGGAAAGTCATTGGTTGCTTTCTTTCCATTTTTAAGAAAAGCCTGTAACAATAAAAGTATTCTGAAGCAGTTCATAAAGACAAAAGAAACACACTAATATTTCCTTAAGGGTACAGGCAGATTTAGGGTTGGTTTTGTCTCCAGATGGTCAGAAGACCATATGGTTCACATCTGCTATTTGCATAGCACTATTACCAGAGGCTGCACCAGAAGGCTAAAATGATGTTGTTTACAGTTGCCTTTAAAAATGAAGGGAGGGGAAAGAGAAAATGGCAACACTGACAGTCCATGATAGTTGCCTCCCTTTACTCCTGTTGCCATGGTCTCCTTTGTCTGGCCAGAAGTATCACTTCTTCCTTAAAAACAAAATTTATCATAAGAGTATTCAAGGTGTAGAAAGAAGAGTGGAAAGTTTCATCCAGTGTAAAACACTACTGCTTGTTTAAATTTGTTATTCACATACTAGGAAACTTTACTGTGACATACACATTTGCTTACTTTCTTGAACTGTTCACTCTACTTTGCAGTACAGAAGTCCTGCTTTGAATCTTAGTGATAACAAAGATAATGCCAGAATGTAAGAAAGCTCAGAAGCAGAAGAAAAAAAAAAAAATAAATCTTTATTAGCCAACACTCTTCTCAGCCAGTAGAAATTCAGGCACTCTTTCAAATGACCTTTGGCCATTGTCTCTGACCCTTATTTTATTTAAGATACAACACATCTCATACGAAGCCTCCTTTCACATACCCATCCTCTATCGTTACCTCTGGTCTGGGAATGACATTTAGTCTTTCTACTGACTGGTTCTAGAACTAATCATATACCTCAATAATGGTAAAAGAGAGAAATACCTTTATAAACTGCAGATATTTTTTTAATTTCTTTGTTCCCTGAATTTTTTTTTAATAAAAGTAAACCATAAAGTACACGTGGTATATATAAAGAACAGCTGATTTGGATGCAAGGCACTTAGCAGCAGCGTGTGTTAACGTTATGGCAGAAAGATTCTGGAGCATGCCATTACTGTGGTTAAGCTGCCGGCACTCAATTAGGCTTATAGAACAACTTTAACACCCTCAAGGGAGTGCTGCCCAAATCTCCCCAGTTATTAATGCTAGGTGACCTCATGTTATTAACCAAGAACAGTAGAAGGGAAAGGGCAAAGATGTCAGAGAAAAAAAAAAAATCAGTGGACAACAAAGCAAGACAGAAAAGGGTGAAAACGTTAACCTTTTGAATATCCACAGGACTCACTACAGAAGCACCAGCAGAGCGAGCTTCCTGCAAGGGTAGAAAAAAAGATCAAGAGACAGAAAGAAGACCAAGAGGCATACATGACAGTTTCTCAGAGTTTTTATCAGGAGAATGTACCTTATGTGGTAACATAAGCAAATGAATGCCACACATGTCCGAATAGCAACTCTGGCATCTGAACAATGAGAACGTGTACCTGGTCTTTCAAGCAGACTTTCTGTTGTGTTTTTGGTCTGCATCCAAAAAGTGTGGATTACACAAATAAAGAGAAGATGGTTTCAAGATAGTAGATGTATTTTTGCCTTGAGAGACTTAAAGGTCAGGACAGAATAGGATAAACGGAAGAGTTTAAAGCAGACAGCAGACATTTGAGAACTCTCAGCCTTATGGAAAAACTGAGCAATAGGCATGTGATCCTCCAGTTTACTTCACTGATATATAACATATGACTTCTGTAATCAAAACTGCCCTATCTTGTGTATATTTACTGTCTTATGTAGGACTTTTTTTTTAAAGTCTTTTAAAATCACAGCCTGTAAAAAAGAAAAATTGAAAGGAATTTTTTATTTTCCTATGAAACTGTAGAGTTATGTGGCACCTGTATAGCAGGCTCTTCTTCTGGTTCCTGTATATTGAAGACAGTTGCAGCACTGTCTGCTCCCAGCAAGCGACGAGCCATTTTTTCTTCGTACGTTAATCTCTGGACAAAAAAATGAAAAGGGGATGAAGGGGAGGGAAAAGAAGTTGTTCTTATTTCTCATTAAGAACTACAAGGCAGTTAGACAGTAAGCTATGCTTTAAATCATGTTAATAAAAGAGAGTAGCAACATGTTCCTAACAGAAATTTTCTACCACGGTTTGTAATGCATTTTTTTGGCATTACAAGTGGCTCTTCTGGCTTAAGCAACCCTTGCCCTGACTCTGTCATTTGTTTCCATCCTCTTGCCAGGAACTTGGGCAGGAATAAGCAATAAGAACTGCTTAAATCAGCATGGCCATCAAAAAAGTGCATGTCAAACCATCCCAGATCTTACTCCTAGACGTTCTGCTCGACTTTTACATTAGAACCACACAGCAGAAAACTCTGCCAAAAATGCTAAGGAGATACTACTCTACTTGATTATTTTGTCAAAAATATGACAGCTTTATAGAAAAATATATTCTTTGAGCTTTTTTATTTCTACTGCTTCTTACTCTTTGGAAATTAAGGAGACAGCTTATAAAAGACAATTTACATCAGAAGGTAAAGCAAGTTAGAAGAAAACCTTAAGTGTACGATTCAGTTATTTCATTACAATTTTTCCTTCTATTTTCAATAAGACATTTCAGGCACTTAAGACACTTTCTTAGAAATCAGTATAGTAAAAAAATGCCAGTGAATGAAAAGCAAACTTATTACATGGTGAAATGCCTCATTTAAACAGAAAAATGAAAGAAGAATGGAAATTGTAAAACATCTACTTAATGCTTTCATTTTTAAAAAAGCTCATTTAAATTAATTTTTAAAAGATGTCATATTGTAGCTAAACCAGCAGTCTAAACTCATGAAAACTAGGTACCAATGCTGGCTTGGTTACAAATGTCTAAGAAAATAATGAACTTTTCATCACTTTAATTTCTTCTGTGATCACTCCAAGTGCCCACAGCCATGATCACACAGACAGAATTACCCAAGACAGGAATCTGCAAGGCAAAAGCCTCAAGGCAAGCACAAAACCAGAGTTTACTTGGTTCAGGCTCCCACATCATCTGATCACAGTTGGTTTGGTTTTTGTTGGTTTGGTTTTTTTTTTTCCTCCTCAGGCCATGTGGGCTTTCTCAAGACATTCCATTCATGTGTCCAGGCCAAACATCTCCCTCACTTTCCAAAATAGGCATTGACAGTCATGCTCAGCCCACCTCCTTTGAAAAAACAGGAACTTATACAGTGTGAGAGTGATTCTGCTTAACTGCTACAGAAAACTGCCAAATCCTATGCAGTCAATTAACTACAGAAGCGCTAGTCCCTTGGAACATTTTCCCTACTTCACTACATTAACCTTATGAAGAACCAGAATCCGGCAGCTGTGGACTAGTCAGTCTGACTCAATCGGCTGTCTTGAACTACACCACCATAGTCCACATCTCAGACATGGTAGCAAGCTGAGCAAACTTCTAAGCATGGCCCTGAGAAACCTAAAGCACGCTACTTTTCAGTGACACAAAGGTATTCCAAGGCATTCAGATGCTTTTGAAAACATATCAATCACAAAACAGGGGTGACGGTCTACATTTTTAAAATTACTTTCCTCTTAAAAGAGATTCCTGTTTCAAAGACATTTAAATCAATGCCTTAATAATTGTAATTAAGTCTTAGAAGAGTTGCGTCTCATCAACTCTGAGCAGGAAGAATTTGGTATTTTATCTTCTATGCATATCTTAAAATGCACAAAAATTAATGGAGAACCTTGCAGCTGTGCATTTCAATTGTTTGATAGGCCCATTTTACCTCATTTCTTGACTCCTTCAAGCAGGCTGTTAACTCCTGATAAAGTTTGTAAGTTAGTACTATACCTTATTTTTTATTCTATTGGTCAAAGAAGTCCCACGACCACAGAATCTAATGATGCCTGATTCCTAATGGGTTGTTTCTCACAATGAACTGCCTTGTGCCCCTCTGATGTCCTCTTTCCTCTCATTGTCCAACAGCTGGGCAAAAGGTAGAATGAGCCTGGACTGATCAAAAGCTATGCATATGCTTATTGGCCAGCGCCTCAGTGATGAACAGTTAAAAACAAATGGCCTCTGAGGCCGAAAAAGCCCTTGAGGTACAGACTGTGCAGGCTTTTTATGCAAATTCATCATCTTGGAGATCTCCGTTGGTTTGTTAAGCCCAAGTAAAGTTGCTGAACAGAAGGAATGATAGACAAAAATGTACGCTATCATTCCTTATGGAAATGCAGCTTTGGAAATGCAATTAAGAATAATAAATACATAAAATACAAAAATAATTTACAACAATTATTTTATATGCAGCATATCTGAGAAACTACCCATGATCCTCACTCCCATTCCCCAGAGTATTTTATGTTTTTATACCGGTTGCCCATTGTTCAAAAGGTCTTCCTTGAAGCGAAGTTTTCTTTCCAGATCTTGAATTACAGCATCTTTTGACCCTTGAATCTCTTCATCTGATGCTATCCTAGCAGTTCTGCCTGTTTTCTTGGGAAATCCCCTGCAAAACAGTACAGGAAAATTCATGAGCTTTCCTGAAATCATTGGTATTTAGGAATTTATCTGGAATCACTGCTATTAGTGAAGAAAACAACATTGTGTCTTTGAACTTAGAGGTCTGGCATCTTACTATGGTGGCTCTTCTAACTCAGATTGCTGATTAAATGGTTAGTTTAAGGACAAAGTTAAAACTATGCTTTATTTGTACATCAGTTAAAATAGGGCTCAGGATTGAGTGGTGGCTGTAAACACCACACACTCAAAGAGGAAACTGACGGGCAATGGCAATAAAGCAAAGTGAGAGGAAACATGAAAGAGAAAGCGTGACTAGATAAGAGAGGATGGAAGATAAACCAGGTTCCTATGAAGTACCAGATGGATAAAGATCAGAAAAATGTAGGACAAGGCAGTTAATAATTCATTTTCTATAATATTTATTAACTAATTCCTTGTTAGAGCTCTGCAATACACAATGCATAACTTCGTGTTTATTCTTCATATCTCTGTGAACACATACCCAGAAGGCAACATGCAAATGTTGTTTCTGAAAGAAGAGCCATTTACAGAGTCTAGGTTACACTGGCAAAAAAATCATCCCTGTAAAGCAGTTTTCAGCAGCAGGGTTTCACAGTGGAATAGCATCCGTTTAGCAGTTTGCATTTACAGCTATTCCTCATACCAGTCTACAAGTTACAGTTGCACTTCCAGGATGTCTCACTCCCATTTTCTGGGATAGCACAGGAATTTTTTTTTTCCAGTCTGGCTAATATTTAACACTTTTCAGTAATGTTACGATGGCTCTATTGCTGGAAATGCCCAACAATGGTGGTTTCTACTGGAGATCAGCTGTTCTTACAGAGTTGTGTAGAAATCAACATTGCTATCAGTATTTGAAACTTGCAGCACACCCCATTTCTCCTGTGAAGTCAGATGTTATCGTTTAAAACACCAGTACTGATTCAATATTAGTTTTGGGGGGGGGGTTAACTCCATGGACTAAATAGGGCTCAGCCCACTACATGGGACTTATGCAAAATAGGGAACTGAAACAGGTAAACATCTGTGTCACAGATGACACAGGTAGAAAAAAAATCAGAGCAGCATGTAAGGAGTAAACTTGTTTCCAATACACAACTTAATAATTTAATTACCAGCACCAAAATGTTAAAGAAGAATCACACAGAGGTAACAAATCTTGTTGGATATTGTTTGGTACTATGTTTCTATAGCATGGTTGCAGAAAATCCATTCTTCAGCAAGTGTTTTCAATGGTAATTTTTAGCATTACTTAAAATGAAACAATACACATATGCTGTCAAAAGCCAAAAAGGAATTAAGTGAATAGATGGAGAAGACAATAATTGGAAACATTTCTGTCTAAATTCCTAAAACATTTCATATTCTGTTATTGAAAGTAAATTTAAAATGGGAAAATGGTGAAGTTCTTGTAAAAAGAACTGCATTTTCACATTAAATCACAGCAGAAGAGGAGCAGACATTTCCCTAATGTCGCAAAGAGCCAGAGAACAACATCCCTCACCCTAGAAATATTCAGCCGTTAGCTGGAGATCTTCTCAGTCACCAAGCAGTGTAATTCCCTCAGCATTTGGCTGGGGCTGTTCTCAGTCACAAGTAACAAAGTCTCCACTCTGTTTTGGGGAAGAAGTCAGGAAAACCATCCCACCTACAGGGAGGCAAGAGAATGCTAAGAGGAAGGGGTAAGGTCTCTTGAAGAAAGAGATGTTTCAGTAAGTCAAGAAATTTGGGGACAGTAAGTATAAAGGAAGATGTGGAAGGAAAATGGACAGGAGAAGGGGGGGAAAAGGGATCAGAAGGTAATGTCCCTCAGGAAGGCTGGACCAACTGCTGGAAGGCTAGCAGCAGGTGGCATCCATCTGTCTCCTCACAGTCTTTCCCATCATCTTCCAGCCTCTTACCCCACCCAGCCCAGCACTGCCACAGAACTGAGTTTTGTCGCTTTTTGCATAAGGACACCCCCCCAAAAAAAACCCCACCCCAGTTAATTTCAAGGCAGCAAATTTCAAATTTGGCTTCACCTTGAAGAAGCACTGTGCCAGCTCCTAACGGAGACAAGCATCCTACCTTGAAAATTCCAAGTGACACATTAAGAAATAGAGTTTATATTTCACGTTCTTACAAACTTCATATTTGAATGATAAAAAGAGCCTCAGCAGAAAAAGGCTCTGCTTATGCTTGGCACTCAATAGGCTGTAAAGGTAAAATGTAGTTTACCCAAGAAAGTCACACCACTGCATGAAAAGAGGGGGATGGGTTAAGCGCTCCGGAGTGGATTTCAAATAACTAGTGAAAGCATTTTCTGAAGCATTATCATTATCTCTGAAAACAAAAACTGCTAAGCAAACACACCCATTTTTAAAAAGAGAAGGAGTACCAAGAGAATTACAGGTCAGTAAGTTCAACGTCCATACTAAACATAAGAAAACAATATTACAGTCCATTTCAAAACAATGTAGGATAATAAAGAAATGAAAATTGAATCATATCAAACCTCACATTTCTCTCTCGGTCAGGCTGAAGGGCATGCAGATATGCAAAAACAAGTAGCTTTGATACACTTCAGTTTATGGCTTCTGAGTAAGCCTTCAGGAGCTGCAGTAAGTTCCCGAGTAAATCAGGGAAACAGAGTCTGGCTGAAATTTCTATTACATGGCTGCATAACTGTCTGAAAAAGCTTTTCAGACAGTAGCAATATTTTTTTTTCCTGTTAAACTGGAAGAATATAGACCAATGAGGTTTTTCCAAGGTCTATATATACTAAGTTCAGTACTAAGTATTCCAACCTTAACAACTGGAATAACGAAATAAAAACACACATTTCTCAAATTGGCTGATGACTCTGAACTTGCAGAGGTTGCAACTCGTTTGCAGGTAAAAACTGTAATTTACAATAATCTTCATAATTAGTCTAGAGGTGGTCTAATGATGAAACTCAGGAAAAATGTTCAAAGCACAACAGCAATACAAATGGAAAATTAGCACTAACATTCAGCATCTCTCAAGAATCTGTGAGATTAAAACTTGGATAATAACACCATTATTTCAAAAGGAAAAGCAATGTAATTCTGGGACACACTAGCATAAGACATGAAACTTCATTGTTTTCCTTTATTCCTTGCTGTTGGACACTGAATCCAGTTTTACCACTGCACTTCAAGAAAAATACAGCAAATTGGAAAGTTTTAGAACAAGAAAACTGTCAGATGGTTTTAAAAGCATAGCTTTTGTGACTATGTCACTCACACACACAAATATTTATTTAGTAAGGAAATGTGGAGAATGAAGATAAAGATGTGAATCAAATATAAAACATCATAAAATAGCTGGCATTCAATCATTCTCTGTGTCCATTGAGGATGGTAAGTAGACAATAACTTGAAGAACAACAGGCTTAGCTTAGACAAAACCAATACAGAACTCTCCTTTCTCCACCCTCCAACACTGACAGTTAAACACTGGAACAAGTCATGTAGGGAAACTAAGGAATTTTATTTAAGAACAAGGTATGCAAGTATTTCAGCAATGGCCTGGGGATCCCTGGTAGCTTTTAACAGGAGTAGCACACTCCCAAACAACCTTCCAGATCTCTGGTTATGTGCCAGAACATCCTGAGCTCTGCACGGTGGGTGTGGAAGTGTCATCCAAGACCTGGTCAAGGCAACTTGTCTGAAAAATAGATTCTCTTCTCTTTACTTACATGTCCAAATAAGTATTTAAGCAAGGAAGGAGTTGGTTTAAAAATAAAACTATAAAAATGAGTATCAGTCATAAAGTCTTCAAATGCCTTTAGAAAACCTCTCTCTTTCTCTTTCTGGACTACTTTAAATTGGGACAGAAAAAGAAGAGGCACATGAGGAAGTGTAATTCTTCCTGCAGATGCTCTGTTTCCACCCTCTCTTTAGAATATCTTTCCTTCTCTACATACATATACTTTAAAATATGCACATAAATATATATATATCTCCATACATACTGCCCACCAAGTTAGCTCTTAAGACATACATTCTTGAGATGAATTTCAAAATGCCAATAAGGCAACAGCAACAAATAGAAGGTCCTTGGTAAATCTACCCTCCGAAGCACAGATCCATTTAACATGTAAACCATCTTTCAAGCTAAGACAGCCTGGCAGCAAACTTTCTTCAGCTGCTTTTGCAAATATTTTTCCCCATCCTTACATGCCCTTATCTGGATGCATTAAGTTCCTAAGATTTGTGTCCTCCTTAGTGACTCAGCAGCTTTATTTTCATCTTTTATCAGGGATAATATCAAACAAAACATTCTGCAGAGTCATTTATTTATTTTTATGTTCATTCTTTGCCTGATACAATTTTCAGAGTATACTGTGAGTATTAAGGTAGCAGGAGATAGCTGGAGAAGGCATATTTCAAGATATTGACACCATTAGTCTCGAGCACACAACCACCACCCCAAACATGCAAAGAAACTATCAGCCTTTGAGAATCAAGCTGCAATTCACACAGATTTTTAGCACTTCTGAAACATGACTGAAGTCACTGAGGGCCTCAATACAGGCGTAGATAAAATCACACAAGTCTGAATTCTTTTGGTCAGAAAGGGCACAGCAAAATTGCCCAAACTCAGTCATCTTAATTCACACAGAGATTTTTGACAGCAAAGATTTTTGCAACCTCGGCTTGGCTCTCCTTGGTTTTGAATATTTGCCCTAACATTTGTTTAGAAAGAAGGCCAAACCAGCAGTACTTTTCATGTTTTAATTACACAGAGCGCATGCTAGATGCAATTCTCTCTTTTCCTATGTACCTTTCACAGTGTAAACAAGGGCAACAGGCTGGCTTCTGTTATCCTTCCAAGAAGAAATTCCTGTTTGCAGCCAATATGGCTCAGTTTCACAGAAATCCAAATCAATTCTCTGGTACTGAGGTAATGAACAGTAACTTGATTTTTCCTTTAAAACTAAAACCTTCCAAAAACACAGCT